TTGTAGACCAGTGGCATAGCCCCTCGCCCGAGGGGGTGGCAGTTCATTCAACTTTATTTTCATTTCGTAAATAGCACGAATTTTGTCCTTCATTACTGTTTTCTCTCTTTTGTCCATGATTATTTACAGTTGTCAACAATAATTGTGGTAGCAGCGCTCAAAAATTAAAATTAAAATGACGTTTTGAAAGCAAAGCACAAAATTGTTTTAAGGGGCTTCGGTGGGCGGGCAGAGGAAAACCTGGCCAACCGATAAAACCGGTTTCCACACCTTTGCCCCACGCTGCCCAAGCTGCCCAAGCTGCCCAAGCTGAAGAGACAATACAAAAAGTAAAAGAAAAAAACGTTACTTCAGTCCTTCACGCCACGCAGCATCCGACGCAAAGCACGCCAAGTTGTCCATTAATTCGTCTTAATCCCAAATCTAAATCTACCCACACCAGCCCCAGGGAAAATGTCATTACTCTGCCTTTTGTAACTTAAAGGCGCTAGACAGAGGACACTAGGCAGCTCACCTTGAGAGAAACGACGAGAACCAAAACAGACAATTCCTAATGGTTATCAGTATAGTTATAGTTGGCGCGTTTCTATGTTTTTTTTTGTCTTTGTTTCGGTTGTTTTCGTATTTTTGTTTCTTGTTTTGCTTGTTTTTGGGCGCTCTTCCAAACAGACGTTTTTTTTTTTTTGGCACTCTGCATTATAAATTATAGGGAGACGAAAACCGGGGGAAAAGACAACCGCACACGAACTTACAGTGTGTGGGAGAGAGAAAGAAAGCGGGAAGGCTGTAAAAGGGGCGAGGGAGAGGAAAGCTGCGTGCGTACGCGTGAGGCAGTCATTGCATGCGATCTCATGGATAATGAAAAGTTGATTTGGGCTGGTTTCGCCCTTCTGACCATGGTGTCCTTCATTTGCCTTCAAGGGCCTTTTTCTTCTTCACATGGTTCTCGCACAACGCCACCGGGCCGGGCCGACCGCACAAATTCGAGGCGGCGTCATCAGACGTCATCTTCTGTTGTGCCCTCTGAACGAATTGGTGCTTCTTCTGGCAGCCTCATGTCAAGAAAGGGGCTTACGAGCAACAGTCGTTCGGACACCAAAAAAGGAGGTACTGCTCCTAAACACCAAGGCGCTTCGCCGCCTCCACTGAAATTAAATGTCAATGTTTCTCCTATAGGAACGGGTGTGTCTCATCCGTCTCCGCACACCAGTAACTTCACTGCGTCCGTGATCACTGCTAGGCATATGGCACGCAACGCGCAGTCTACAAATACATGTGCTGCTGAGGTGGAGAGGGTGAATGGGCGATCCGTGGTGGGACGCTCAACGCAGACAGACAGCATCCTCTGGGAGGAGTTTTGCTGCTTTGATGCTTTAAACTCAGCTCCAAGTGTCTGTGATCCGCTTGGGTGTATTAGCCCCATCATTAGCAAGGACAAGGACATCGCGTCACCGATTTCCGCCGAGGCCTTGTATTTTAATTCTCCAAAACGGGGGAACAGCAAGCCCATCCCTCTGCTTCCGCCCTCTTTGGAACATGGTGTCGAAGTGGAGTTGACCAAGCGCGTTGAGGCAGTGCAGGTGCCTTCAGCTGGGGCCAGAGAGTGGTTTGATCTCTACAACTTTGTCACACACGTCCCTCGCGGTGTTCTGCGGCCAATTTGGATGAAAAAGTTCGTTGGGTTGTTGCTCTCTCCCACGTTTCCCCCGCCAGTGACCGTATCGGACTCATCGAATGGTGAAGTGGACCCTCTTTGGCGCCTTCAGGAGCATGTTTCTCGCCTTCTGAAGGATGATTCCTTTCGACTTCCAAAGAATGGCCAGTTTTGTCTCTCAGACGAAGGGACAAGTGTTGTTTGGTGTGCAAAGGAGGGGAAGAGGTTAGAAAAAATCAGCAGGTTTTCCCACATTTGTGTTTTTTCAAGCGATGAGGATGAAGATGAAAGAGATGATGGCGACGGCGACGCCGGTGTAGTTGGACGTGTTGAAAAAGTACTATTGGCCTGCCGACAGGCGAGCATGCACTTCGCTGCAACGCAGTTTCCGGAGGAATCTACGCTGAATGCCCCTGAACCGACAGATCAATCGCAGGTGGCAATTCGTATTCCGTTTGAGGAGCAGGATGTGATGACTTTGCTTGACAATTTGGTAAAACTACGAAACCATGCCTCATTCGACGCGCTGCGACGCAGTGGCATAGATATCTCCTTTTCTGTTGGTGTAGTTGACGTCATGAATGAGGCGCAAAGGCTGCTTGATCGGGCGTCCATTAAAATGGCCTCTGTCGGACAGAACACCCTACAAACTTTGCAAACTCCACCGAGGTCCTGGTTGGTGTCGCCAGCCCAACGAGCTGTGGGACAAGAACCGAAGTGGGCTCAAGAAGAGATGCCTCTGACGCCGTTAGACGGACGGCGTTCGGAGCGTGACACGCGGATGATGCCACAGTCATCTCTCTCGCCACGGCACAGCAGAAAGTCAGATATCAAGCGTCCCGCGTTGCGTGATAGCGCCACGCATGACTTTGGTGATTTTCCGTACGGACCGCATGACGCTCCTTGTCTCTCCTCTTCCGCGTATGAAAACCCCGCGTCTACACCACCTCGCAACGGTGAGTCGCATTCGTTTGTAAGATTTTTGACTGCCTCGACGATTCCATCTGCTGCATTGGACGAAAATGAGCGACAACGCACGCTGTATGGAAGGTCCAGGACACAGACTGTTATAGAGCTGGCCTCGAATATCTCCTCGGAGAAAAACACCAGCAACGGGACGCGATCAAGTAACAACGTCTTCAGCCGTCTCTACACGCCTCCCAAAAACACCCAGAAAGCGGCCGCACAACCCACTCCACCTCTTTCAGGAGGGAAGAAAGTTCCATTTAACGTTTATGTGTGAAAACTTCCGCGCACTTCTGGAGGTGTCTTTTGTTGTTGGTGTTATAGTTGTTGTTATTTTATTTTGTTGTACTCGGTTTGCCAATCTTTCTTTCTTTATTGCTTTCTCTTTGCGGGTTTGTGAGTTGGTTCAGGTGAAGCGTGTGGTGAGTGCATTGCATCGTTAGCACGGAAGGACTTTTGTGCAGAAGGGGAGAGCGGTGGTGTTAGGTGTCTTTTTCTTTGTCCGGAAATCAAAATAAAAAAACGGTTGTATGTTCGTGCATGGCTGCCTTACTCCTTTTGTCTCTTATTATTACCACTATTAAAAGTCACACACCTCTATGCACTGAACGGAAGAGAAAATTTGGTAAGGATTGGGAGTAAGGGGAGGGGAACGTAGGACGATGTGTTCTTGCACTCTCTCGTTTTGTGTTGCTGTGCCTGTTTCAGTTCTTTTTCTCGTTGTGTTATTGTCGTCTTTTTTTTTTTGCTTTTTTAGGTAGCAGCAAACCGCAGGAGAAACAAAAAGTAGAAACGACAGCCACTGTTTTTATTTATTTGGGTTTATGTATTGCAGCGAGAAAGGTGGGTTTGGTTGTTGTTGTTGTTTTCGTTTTTTGTTTTTGTTTGGCTGTTTGGTTGTTGCTGGCTCACAATTTATTAGTGTTTATTCTGAGACCTACTGAAAGACAGGTGTTGTGTACGTAGCACCCGGACTGTGCGCGTGTGTGTTGGGTAATGAACCACGCCGAGCATCTCGGAATAGCCTTTGCAAACATCGTGTACGCCTTCTTGATCACCATCGACACCGACGACTATGGTGCATTCATCTCTCGAATGTTTGAGCGAGAATCCCGAGAAAAGCGGGCGTTGGTTGCATTCCTCGTCAAAAAGAGGGCTGCTCATTTTCCGTTCATGACAGATGACGTGGGCAATACAGAAGACGTGGAGAAGGAGCGGAGCCGCTGCGCTGATGACGGGATTCAAGACAGTTGGTGGCAGAACGTCGAGTCTTTGAATGAGATTCCAGATGCACCCGTGGAGAGGTTTTTAGAGCGAAATATGGCGATTAACGATGCTGTGGTGCAGCTTACCATGGTTCGAAATGCCTTCTTGGAATGTATTTTAGAACTCTCAGAGAACGCTTCTTTCAGTGTGTCCCCCACTCTACACCGATCACTGCAACAGATTCCAAATGACTTTTTTAACGCTGCGATGAGTGGTGTACAAAGGACCATCATGGAAGTTGTCTCATCTCTCTGTGGTGAACTGAAGCAGAAAAACCTGCCAAACTGTTTTTCACAGTCGATGGGGACATCTGGTTGCGGCTCAAGGAGTGAGCTTATTGGTCAAGGGGGCTGTAATAGTAACGCCCAAATGCTGGGTATTGCAGTGGAAACTATTTGGGCGTATAGTGTGGCCTTTATGTTGGCTGCGGAGGACTTTGTTCGTATACGATGTGGGGGTTTTGTACACTGCAGTCGATTCCTCTTGCGTGACCTTTACATGCCGTCTGAAGGCGAGATAACATCCAGCTTTCGTCCCTCTCTTTGTAATCTACCACCAGTCTTTTTTCTCTCCTTGAAACTTGCTGAGAAGTTGGGGAACCACTTTTACGGTATTCTTTCATCGGGGAGCGTTGTGGCGCGTCCGTCAGACATGCACCTTCTATTGCTGAGCCGCTTATGCTACGGATTTCTCACCCAGCTGGATGAAGCCTCGAAGGATGATGTTTGGAGGGGATTGGTAAATACATGCTTATCTGTCGTGCAAAAGGCACGACCTTCCGCCCACGACCGGGAAGATGTGGATTGGGGCACTCTCATTCAGGAGACCGATCCATCGCACAGCACCGCAGACCATGAACGTCTGGTGCAAGAACTGATGTTTGTTTGGAGGCGACAACAGGGATGGCGGGGAAGTTCAACGAATGGAGCACCACAGGACGAAGATGATACGTGGGCAACTAGCCTGCCCATTATTTTTTTGAAGCCTTATTCCTTTTTTTCTTTGTGCTTCAATAAGACGGTCTCCGCGGTTTCGGAGAGTTGTGGGTTGAAGTTGGGCAGCGGCAATAAAAATGAGAGGGTAATAGGTGATCATTTTGGTGGCTTGTTTCGTGACGCGATGCAGTTGTGCCATATTTTCACTTATAGTGCCGGGACGCCTGGTTTACTCAGCGCCCTTCTCGACCTTGTCCGGGGGATGATGTCGCTCTCAAGGCGCGAGGGGCGGTTAAAAGATGTAGTGACACTCATTCTCTCCGGATGTCTACTTTCGAAATCAGCTCCGCACGGCACCTCTCACGCGAACGCGTGGGCGAAGACACAAAAAGTTGTGGATAGTTTACTGGATGAGGTTGACAACTGGCGCAAGGCGAGACATGCGATCTGCTACTCCCTTTCAATGGCAGCGCTCCTTGGCAGGTGCTCTCTAAAAGAGTTGGAGTTGAGGCTACCAACGTTCTTGGCCACAATGGAGTCCTGGTTTGCGTCGGCCAACAATATGGAGAGGACGGCTATTCTTCACGCCACCTTGCACGTTGGAGGGCTTCTGTGTGACGTCTGTGCCATTCATGATCCTCTCTCTCCGCACAAGTGGAACAACTCTATCTTAAGCTTCTTTCACTCCGTGGAAAAGATGCTGCTAAATGTGATTGGCTTCAAGATCTGGAAGAACACACCGTACACTTCATCCTGCATTGAAATTGCCTCAGACCTCTTGTTATTTGCACTACAACAGGAGTCTTTTCAATCATCCGCACTTCATTGGCTTCTGAGGCTTTTGGAGACCAAGGCAAAGACAAGGATGCTTTCAAAGAGTTCTAACGGCACTGTCATTACTCGCGGTCGATTGATCGCCATACGTACCATTTGGGCTCTCGTTGAGCTATACTACTGTGGAACCTTCTCCATTGTGGGTCACGAAGGAGTTAGCGCAAAGGATGTATTATTGGCCTGTATCACTACTTGTGAAAACAGGAAGCGGCTTGGTGCTATGTATAACGCTTTACTGGAACAAAAGACTTCTATAAAGGAGAGAATCATTGGGTGTATTGCGTTTCAAGGGACCTGTTACAGGCCTGCAGTGGTTACTGTTGAGACGCTTGCGATATTCTGGCGTGGGAGGAGTCTGAAAAATGTGATTCAATGCTTGAAGACGCATGAAGAGGTTCGACGGGGAATCAATGAGCTTCGTGAGGCTGCTTTTAGTTATGCCCGACAAATTTGTGCCAATGATCGTGCTGAGGATGTCGCGGAATACGTCCATCAGTTGGTTCCTATTTTTCTAATGGCGCGTCTTTGGGATCCACCGCAGGTGGTGCTGGAGCACAGCCTTGTGCTCCCAACGCTGCTCGTGGGGCCAGTGACGCCGCTATATGAGGTGGTGTCAAACGTTGTATTTCCGTTTTACTTTCTTAAACAGGATGAAAAAAGTATGTGGAGATCTGCGCTTGCGCTTCACCGACTGGTCGAATGCATTATTGTGGAGTTGGGAAAAGACGAGGGTGACCATGTGGCACACCTAACCGAGTACGTTCGGCTGCACTTAACCAATCTACGGGATAGGATGGAATCCCTTGTGAATGAGGAACTATATGCACAGGAAATCGAGGAATATGGGGTAACAAGTTGCAACTCCATGAAGAGGGTATCTTTTGATAAGGAGGCGCACCAGAAGACACTTGTGTTTTGTCGCGACAAGTGGAATTGGTTATTGGATGCTTTGGACGTGAGTCCGCTGAGTCCTAGCGAGTTGAACTCATCGCTCGATCCACAGGAATGGTGTGCTGTGCCTGCTGTACGCAACACAGTCCTTGTTGACGTGCTGGAGGGACTGGCCGTGGTGCTGTTGGGGCACACGAAACTGAATGTGCGTCGAAGTGCGTTATATCTGCTGGAGTTGGTTTCCTCACTTTTGAGGTTGCACCGCATTCATTGTGGGGCAACCGCCCGAATAAAAGATGACCCCTTCCCTGACGGCGCATATTGTAAGCCACATGAATCGCTGTCATCCACAGGAAACGTGGGTACACTTCCGTTAAGCCCCGAGGGGTCGAATTCTCGCAGCGTTGCTGTGGCAGACATTTTTGTGGAACTCGGTGAGCAGTTTGAGGAGATGTATGCCTTTAATAAGGAACGCTACGTCCCGCTTGTGTATATCCTCAATGGCAGAGTACCCACCGTGACAGACTCCATGTATGAGAGGTTTGCCGAAGAGGCACGGCAAGGGTTTCCCGTGGATGGGTCTTCTATCAATAGTAATTCCCAACACAAACCTTTTTCGGCACGTCCAGCGGCAATTGCAACTAAACACACGCTCATTTCCACCTCATTTGGTGGCCATTGCCTTGCAGAGGATGGAACCACACCACACTTTGTCTTTGTTTCTACCACTGCACTGGCACTTCTCATGTATGGCTACTCCCCAGGGTCTGCGTTGGTGCGTGTAGTGTGCGCCATTGCAGGGGAGGTGGTTGAGAGGGGAGCCCAACGGCAGTTAGAGCGCAATTCATTTGACTGGGAATCCTGCTATGTATACAATTACCTTTTTCTCTGCGTTGATAATCTGAAGTCCTCCCCGGATGCGAATCGGTTAACACGTGGAGGTGAGCGGAATCGGCCGGGACATCAGCAAGGCGGAAACTCCACATTTGTGGGTGGGGCCGACGAGTTAAAGGATATAAACTTTCATATTTTGAATCGTCATGGAGCGTACCATCACCTGATGAAAGCCATTACGGTGCCTCTGATTTTGAATGAAATTTATACAGATAACGTTTCACCATGCTTTTTGGATATGATGCAGTATTTGCTTCTTGGGCCAATGGAATATGTTGCGACGGGAAGCAGCTCCCTTGTTACTTATTGTGGGATCATGGACAGTGATCACCCCATTTTAACAGCGCTGCTGAATACGTTAGCAGTAGGAGGCAACAAAACACGTCGAGGCAAGCAAACAATTTTATATGCTTGCTATGTTGTTTTACTTCCGATGATTCTTGTCATTAGCCGTCGTTACTTTGTGAATCCTCCCTTTGTTCCAGGGTGGAAACAACACATGGTTGCTACGCAACGTGCCCGGATGGAGGCCATTCTTCAGAGTGTTATTGATGACCTGCTGTTGGGTGAGTTGCATAACAAAGACTACGCGGCAGAAAACGAGGAGTCGCGCAGCTTTTCCGCCGAAGCTCTGAGTCGCATAGTGCATGAGGGAAATGGTGTATCCTTGCGATCATGCCTGTCGCTCCCCTTGCTTTCTTTTGTTATTGCGCAGAGTGACGGCAGGTCCGTGGTGGCACAAAATACATCAGATGACGTCGCATTGACTGTCTTTCTTCGCGGTGTTCTGTGCGATGTGATTGCGCTCGTATACTCCAAGGATGCCAAATTCCTGGAACCGAAGTTTAAAAGTAATTTTTTGACGAAAGTCCTGTACTTTCTAACGTACCAGGTGCATTGGTTCATTCAGGGGAACGCGCGCCATTCAGGGAGGAGTTTTAGGCAAAAATTACAAATGAACATGAATGCAGTTATGGAGAAGAGTATTCTCGCACTACAGACTGTAGTGTCTTCACTTGACTTGCCTACACTTCAACGGGGCCAGTTTGAGCATGCATTTCGTATTATTAACGCATTTGGTAAAACGTTTTTTCGATGGTTACAAGATTCCTTACCAACCGACTACGAAAACCTTGAGACACATGCACCGAACGTATTTGGGCTTGCGGTCACATTACTGGTGGTAGACTCTCCGTTACGGGAGTCAGTGATTTTGCTACTTCGTCAGCTTCCTTTAGGCAGCCCTGTGCATCGCATCTTTTTCTCAATAATTGTGACAGCGTGTTCGACAAGGTGGGATGGGCGAAAAGGGCCTCTGCTGTCGCAGAAATATCATCAGAAGGCGTACCCATCCCTTGCGCGATCTGTGACAGGTAATGAGATGTCTTTTACCAGTACGAAAACCAGCTGGAGGAATGACGTGTTTGATGAGGAGTTGAAAACTATAGGGAGTATTATCTACTACGCCTTGGTCTATCTTTACAAAGAAGAAAGGTTTGGCTACTTTTTTGACCCTGTTGTGCGGTCCAAGGCGTACGGCCTGCTTGTGTTGCTTTGTGGGGAAGCTCCTATTGAGCCAATGGCGGACCCGCTGGATGACTGGCTGTGCTTGCTGCTGAAAATATATCGGAAAGGCACTGTCGAGGAGGAGGGGGATAATGAACTTGTACAACACTTTTTCTTAATGGCCAGCGAAGATATTCTTTCCATGGGGTGCATTTCATCCAGTCCTGTAGAACGGCGGCGCATAGCCTTAAGTTTGCTTTCGTTTTGCTTGCGCCGAGTGAAACCAACGGAATCTAAGTTACACACAGTGCTTAGTGTCACACATACGTGCCGGAACACAAGCTCTGAGCTTTCCATCGCTACGCTGTGGGGCGGATGGATTGTCTACGAGGGACGGGAAAGGGAACGCTTCGTCTCTATCTTGGTGGCATCCCCAATGGACTTGGTAGACAAGCGTCTAGTGACGCATTACATTGACATCTACATAAATCATGAAATGACACTCCGGGGCAAAGGGAACGATGGTAAGCTTGACGGGCGTTCACGTGGGGCGTACTACAGCTTTCTTCTTTTCTCGCTCTATCAAATGAGGCTGCTGCGCGACGTTGTGGCCCACAGTGAAGAGAGTAGGAGGGCATGTGTGGAGACGCCAGAGACATCGCATTCAACCTATATGCTGCAGAGTGATGTGTATTGGCATAGTTTCCTGGCGTGTCATTCAGCTGTCCCCAGCTCCCTGGATTCGCCGTTAAAAAACAAAAAGGAGGTGAATGTAAATTCCAAGGGAAAATTTTTGTGGATTAAAAATGAAAACATCTGGCACCACTCTATGCAGCTAACAAACGAGAATATCAAGGCAAACCTTTCTTGCTCTTCTATGCGGGAGCGTCCCATGGAAATTGGTGGGAAGAATGACACAAAAGAACTTCTAGAAGACATTGCAACGGTGCAGGAGGTGGGCTTTGTCAAACCTCTTTTGAGCGTTCTTTTTTTTGCATCGTGGGCCATGGAGAGACTACGGCAACGTGACTGGCGCTTGTGGAAGGAGTTAAACAGAGATCTTTCTTGCATTACCAGTTTTACAGTGAATGAGTTGACAACTGATTTGAGGGCGGCCGAAATTGCGCAAATGTTTTCCTCCGCCTCAGACGACCAATGCGAGTCGGAGGGCGAATTGGAGGATTCTGCTGAATGTGTGGGTTCCGTATCTGAGCATAATATTGATCACCGTGCATCTTTGACGTGGGATGAGTGTAAACTGCCGAACACAGTGGATACGCAGGATGGAGATAAAAATGATGACGAACAGGAGGAAGAGGGAGATGCGGATGCGGAGGTGGATGCAGAGCATCATTCCGGGGAGAGCAGCGTTGGTACGGTTGTGGTAAACGCTAATGTACCAAAAACAAGCGTTACAGAAGCAATGGTGTTCAACATCAAACAAGCGGACAAGTTGAGGAAGGAAACGAGATTGAAGCGTTCACGCCGAATGAATGATCCGTCTCTTCTTCTTCAGAGGGACCTTGTTGTGTTGTTTTTGCATTTTGCCTGCATGCTCCTTGTGCACATGGGTTTTGGGGAGATGTGCTGTGGAGAGAAGTCTGAGGAACTCTCCTCACGCTTTTATGTCGTGGAAAGGGCATTTGAGGCACTTGGCATTCTTTTGAAAGATACCGCTACGCAAGGAACCTGGCGGTCGTCGTCGACTCTCAAACACTGGCTGAAGCTGACATTTGCCCGAGTGCGGCGTCGTTTGGCAATGAAGAGGGGTCTGAAAAACTGGGATGATGGTGTAATTTCACTGACCTTTGAATCTTGTTTGTTTTTTGAGGGGACCGTCTTCGATGCGGGTAACTCGGGTACCCCGTCATCGTCTGTGGAGCTGGTGCTAAAAGAGCTGTTTTTAAACATCGCGGGACAGGGTCGCAATATACGTGGTCGTCACTTTCTTCTACGGTGCCTCCATGAGTTTTCGACGTGGCTGGAGCCAAACACTTATCAGGATAGCGATGCCAAAGCCTGGCGGAATTCACTCCATCCTTACATCTTACTCATTTCCTTGAAGGTGGCGCGAGCGATATCGTTTTGTCTTTCCTACACAACAGGGGTGTTGGTGGTGGGGCGTGATTGCCAGCACAAATGGATGGAAAAGACGGCTATGCAGTTGGCAGGCGTAAGTGCATTTCGACGGTTTATTATGGCGCTTTCTCAGCAGATGAATGTGCTACAAAAAGAGTCTTCTTCCGCGATAAGGCCATTTGCGCGGGCTCAATGTTACAATTTTTGTGCCTCGGTTCTGAGGTCCATGGCCTGTCTGCTGAGTGACATAATTATTCATGAAATGTACTACTGCACAGGGGCACATGCGGAGCAAGTGGAGGAAGAGAAACAGGATGCGCTTTTACTCTCCACCCCCTTTGGGGATAACAGCTCATTCCCAGCACATTATCTCTTGACAAGTTTCTGGACGGGGTTTGCATTTCTGCTTGACCCCAACTTGTGGCAGGCGGCGTGTGACGTGTTGACTGTCTTTCATCGTTATGGCTGTGCTCAGTTTCTTGGCAGCATTTCTCCTCCACCCTTGCAGTTGCCGTATCCGTTAGGCATGAACGTAACGCCTGACTGTGCAGCCGTGCAACTAGTGCTACTGCGTCAAGGCAAGGAAAACATGGTGGATCAGAATAAAGGGGGAAATCCAACGTTGTCGGAGCAGGAGGATCATGGCGTGGAACACACCGTGGATGTGGTGCTGAACTACCTCAATGAGTATGCAAGCGAGAAGGAAGAGCCTGCTGTGCTTCTGGCGTTTACGGAATTGTTGCTATTGTGTGATTGGACGTCGCTCGATTATGGAACACGTGCCCCAAGATTCACAGCATTCGCAAGAAGGGGGGATGTTTCTATGGATTCTCAGCGTCAACTCCCTCAGAAGCTCTCCACTCAACGAGACATGGGCCCACTTCAATCCTCCGCGTATCGTCCTTTTACGCGTTACGTATGCTACTTTGCTGAGTCGTGGAAACGAGGCTTGCTGTTGCTCCCAGCGGGTTGTGAGAGAACTGCAGAGGGGTTGGCGTCACGCATGTCGTTTGTGCTTGGGGATTTTTTCCATATGGCGGTGAAGGTATTTGGCGTTTCCTCTGTCGAAGTCCTGCTGCATCGGGTGATTGCAGGGAATTGTTGGAAACGAGAGTCTATAGAAGTAACAACTTCGTGTTCAGGGAACCGCTACACGGGTTTTTGCTCGCTGCCAAGCTGCGCCGATCCCTCCCGAAGAAGTCACATATTGAATGATGTACACGCGAGTTCTTTTCAGAGCCAGTTTGAATCGCTTGTCGTCTCACCGCTTATGTTTTTGTTTCAGTCATCGGAGACGCCGCTGCCGCTGTGGAGCAAGATTCTTGCCCTGGTGGCGGCGCTGCTGCGGTATCATGAGCAAAATCATGGATTTGTGACTGATCAGCTACTGAAGTTCCTGCCAGACATTGAGCGGGGGCTGGGCGTCGGGACGGCCTCGAACGCCCTCACAGATGAGACACCGCTTTACGACAGGCTCGTTGTGCTCGTCCTCGCGGATGAGGTGTCGTCAAAGGTGAAGCGACTACGCATGGCGGCATGGACTAAGACGCCCTCCACCTCGCCATTTGACACCGGAAATGCCGTATCGCAGCTGGCCTTGTTGCTAGATAATCAGCCATTTGTGACAGCCCTAATGGATAAACTCACCCATGACCCCTTTTCTGCCTACTCCGAAGCAAACGTTGGAACGTCGGTGCGAATGGAACTCACGGGGGATATCTCCAAGCTTAACACCTCATCGCCTATGGAAGAGTGGGAGCTGAGGCCTTTTCAAGCGGCGTCGAGGAAATTGCCCGAGGAGACTACTTTTGGCGACGAAAAGGGGATGCACCCACTGGAGGTGCCTAGGACAATCCCAGACCACACAAATGAGGACGATGCATCCAGCCTCATCATACAGGATGCTCAGCGATGCACGGAGACCTCCCGTTCACATCGCTTTGGCGGCTACATTTACGAAACCCTAACCGAAGCCAATGGTGCGATGCAACTGACAGGCCAGTTACCTCTCGAGTATTACCGCCCCACGATCAAAGAAACTCCACTAGCATTGGGTTTACGTGCTCCAGAGCGGTCCAGCAGCGCCGACCAGACACCGCCTAGTGTGCAGCATCGTTCCTTTGATCAGTTTATTTGGCCACCAGGCATCAACACGGTGTGCGCGTCAAGTGCCAGCGTGGTATCTGCCTTATCTTTGAGTACTTCTACCGGAAAACGATTTTCAGGTAGCGACGACGACAACACTTCTTCGACCGCCTCTACTTAAAAGATTGCGTGCATTTACTCGAGGAGAGGTAAATCCTCGCGGTACTGCCAATCTTTCTCCATATACTAGGCAAGTACTCATAACTGAATTAGATGAGAAGTGTCTTTTTTTTTCCTTTGTTCTTGGTAGGGCGCGGTACGGTTGCTTTGCACGTGTTATATATATATATATATATACATTTTCTCTTTGTTAGGGCAGGCAGCATTTTCTGTTTTGGCACTCTGGGGACTGTTGCGTTCTTTGCGTTGCTCTTTGCGTGTGGGTTTCTGAGCCCGCAAGGCGATGGCTTGACAGACAGTTAAACTGTGTGTATGTGGGTCCAAATAAAGCCCCCACATTTTGAGAATAATGATAGTAATAATAATAATAAAACAAAACAGCAAAGAGCGTGTGGTGAATAGTTTTTTTTTTTTTGGCATTTAAAGGGTTTTGAGGTTTATGCACTCTGCTCTTTATTCCACTTTGTGGGGAAAGGGTGTGCTGCATGAGGACACGTTTACAAACCCCTTACCTATACACACCCTTTCTGGTTCCCTTTTTTTTTTTTATGTGCATGGACTTCAAAAAAAAAAAAAAAACATGCACCCGGTTTTGGATGAATGAGCAAGAGACTGATTTATTTATTTGTGCTCTTTTTTTCCCCCCATAGTTCTACATTGGTCTATTTTCCGTGCTGTCGCGCTGAATAGAGGTGTGAGCGTATTTATCTATTTTGTCTTTCTTGCTTAGTCCCCACGTTACTACTAATAAAATAACATCCTTCGCACGGAGAGATGCGACGGCGGCGGAAACCCAAAATAATGTCATTTTTTTTTTTTTTTTACAACGAGAGCCCAGGGATTACAAAACGCCTTGATGTATATATATATATATATATATATATATTACTTT